TTGTGTCCGTGAAGCACCTGCCTGTTTTCCATATAGAGGGACTCTCTCCCAGAAACAAACACCAAACAGCCTCCTGACACACGGTTTGAAGCGTGGACACTCTCTTAGCATCGTTAGCTCGGTTAGAGGACAGATCCAGATAATGAGACGCATTAGAGCCCAACTCAGAAAAAGCCCTGACAGGGATACACTTCTGATGTCATTTCCAGGCGCCATACGCCCATTTTATCTATAATTTTGATGTTACTTTCACTATGTGAATTCTAACCAAACAAGCTTTACACACATTATACTGCTCATTGTTTCAGCCCTATCTAACCTATTGTGTTACACTTACAAAACAAACATTCAACCATTGATTATTGTTCAAAAGAAAGCAATACGAGTAACGAATAACAAACATTATAGAGATCACACTCACTGTTTATTCCTTGATTCAAGAGTTCTTAAATTTGTAGATCTGATCCATTTCAGAACTGCTCAAATTCTTTATGGTTCTTTATATACTACTCTGCTTGTGACCAATAAATTCCATATTTGTACTCTTGATCTACTCTGGTTTATTCTCAGGCTTCCAACTAAAGAACCGACTCTAACACAACCTATGACGGATTTTACTGAGACGTTGGAAAAAACCCCACATCACGTGTGATGCTGCTGCTGTGTGGATAGAGACGGAGGGGAGAGCTGTCACAAAACTGCACAAAGCTGTTGCAGTCATTAGTGGAAAGTGACAGTTTCTGGTGGGGGGGGGGGGGGGGAGAAACGGTGCATTGTAGTGTGTTATACTAACAACAGGTTCACTTCCAGCCCCCCCGGCCGGGATGCCGGTGTTAATACTGTTAGATTTGGGCTATAATTACTCCCTTTAGCATAGAATGCTACAACCTAATCCATGTAAATGACTGATTGTCTTATTCCTTTTTAGATGTATATTATTCCCTTTATAATTCTACTTTTGGCTACTGTGCCTCCTCCTCTCTCTGTTACAGTAGATACTCGTCTTCAAGCTCAACATCCACACTTTCTTATCACATTCCACCTAAACCTGAACAATGAATTAGGACCTGGCCTGTTCCTGTCAGAGCTAACTGGCCAATAACACTCGTCCTCCTGTTGAAGGCCCAGAGGAAAACTGTCCATCACCCCCAGAAATCCAGGCTCTTCCAGACTGAGATCCTCCGGGAGCTTTGTCTGTGAGAGTCCAGCTGCTTTACTCTGCTTGTGACCAATAAATGTCAGATTTGAGACTTCCGCTAGCCGTCAGATGGAGTAGACGTGTTAGTCCGCACTCCCTGACTTTACCACTAATACCTGGCCATTATACCGTTTTGAACTTGTTTTATGTTTGGTTACTTTTACCTTTTGTGTTTTACACCTTTTTTTGTTCGAAAATGTCCAAAAAAAGTCAAAGAGAGATGACCTTACTAGCTCTATCATGGCACTGCTAACAACTAAGCTAGCCGAGCACAAAGAGGCGCTTCTTTCGGAGTTTAAGGGATCATTACTCAAAACTTTAGACCAATAAATGTCAGATTTTTACTCTTGATCTGCTCTGGTTTATTCTCAGGCTTCCAGCTAAAGAACCAAATCTAACAGTAGTGTGTTATACCAACAACAGGTTCACTTCCAGCCCCCCCGGCCGGGATGCCGGTGTTAATACTGTTAGAATTGGGCTATAATTACTCACTTTAGCATAGCATGCTATAACTTAATCCATGTAAATGACTGATAGTCTTATTCCTTTTTAGATTGATATTATTCCCTTTATGATTCTACTTTTGGGTTAAACTCTTCAAGCTCAACATCCACACTTTCTTATCACATTCCACCTAAACCTGCATGAATTAGGACCTGGCCTGTTCCTGTCAGAGCTAACTGGCCAATAACACTCGTCCTCCTGTTGGAGGCCCAGAGGAAAACTGTCCATCACCCCCAGAAATCCAGGCTCTTCCAGACTGAGATCCTCTGGGAGCTTTGTCTTTGTACTTTGCTTGAGACCAACAAATTCCATATTTTTTACTCTTGATCTGCTCCGGTTTATTTTCAGGCTTCCAACTAAAGAACCCAAATCTATCTAGTGTGTTATACCAACAACAGGTTCACTTCCAGCCCCCCCGGTGCTAATATTGGGCTATTATTATTCAGCCGAGCAGAGCTGGAGGTGTGATGACCTGAGCAGAGATGCCACTAATTAACCACCGTTTGACCCTGTGTGCCTCAGACAGCTGCTCTGTGTGAGTCTGTGTGAGTCTGTGTGTGTGTGTGTCTGTGTGTGTGCGCTAACCGTGCGCTTTAAGAAAGTAATTTCTTATTCCTCCGCAAGTGAGGGTGAGGTAATTGTGTGTGCATCCACCTGTCTGTCAAACGGGTTCCAGCAGGAGTCGCACACATGAGCGGATTTGCATAGGAAACAAATTAAATGATCTGGCAGCTGTTGGCCAGAAATAATAGACTCTTAACTCTCCCGGTTTAAAACGTCGGATTGAATCAGATGTTAGGAGGTAATGCCACAGCCAGAGACATAAAACGGAGCTTTGTTTATATATTTATTTATTGTTTTTTGGGTCTGTGTGGGACGTGGCTCCGGACAAACTGTTTTTAACGTCACATGACTGACAGGAAATCATCAAAATAAGGGGGCGCCAATCAAGAAAATGGAGAGAACACAATCTGGACGAACGTAAGGAGGGAAATAGTTACAAAAGTGGAAGATCTACGTTTGCCTGTGAGTGAAGTTTGTTTTGTGTCTGTCAAATATCTATTTATTTTATTTTTTTTTTTAATTGAACTTTTTTGCAAAGCAGGAAAACATCAAATATTAAACACCCTACAATTGCGGCAAACTATCTAAACAATCCATTGTTTTGTAGTCATATCATTCCAGCACAACTGATTGACAAACTGATTTTCACCATAGTCTGTAATCCAAAAGGAATCTCAGAGAGGGCATCTTTTTAAATCCACATTTATACCACTGTATCTTATCCGATTACTTTATTTCAATTCCTTACACATAAAGTTACGATGCATACTGAATGACATCTTCAGTGAGTTGTTTTTTCTTCTTTTAAAACACCAAAAATTACATAGAACCAAACCTGTTGCAAAATACACAAAATGCCAGCTTTGAGAAACTTTTTACACATTTTTCTATATAAAAAAATATCTCAGTGTAATAAACAATATTTTATGGAAACAAAAAGTGGCCAATTGGTAATTACCTAACTTCCCAGGCTCAGTATAAACAAATATCATTAAATATGGTATGATAAAGGGTGTCTCAGGCTAAGATTGGCCACCTTTCCACTGGAAAGTTCCTAATACACAACATACAATATGGATGTGAGGATATTAGGAACAGTCGAAGAGAGTAGAATAATAACTAATGAACCAACATAAAACCTGGAATAAATCAGAATAAATCATGATTTAGAAGAAAGCAGTCCTCATTTATGTATTTTCCTGTTCATGAAGCCTCATGATAGAAAGAGAGTTAGAGGAAAAGAAACACATTTCACTTCTAAGTCAGCACAACCCGATCTTTGAAATCTGGTTATTTGAGATCCCACAGTGACCCAAAAAAATGTCTTAGAAAGGACAAAGGTTCACATTGATTTAAATACAGCACACATTCAACAACACTCACACTAAAAAAGATAAATACATTTAGGAAAAAAAAGTAAAAACATCTAAATCCTGCAAAAACGATTTGGTTCTGAATCTGCTTCTCTTGGCTGACAACAGTTTAACTACCCAGATATACTTTTGTGAAACCACAGAGTGTTTGACTCTTAGAAAACAGACAATGTAGTTACTGATTGGCCCAAACGAGGGCGGACTCCGTCTCGACTCGTGTCAGTCGGAGTTTTGAGGAGAAACCAAAGCACACGGACACAAAGGCCACAGAGTCTGTGTGGGCCCTGCACACTTTAATCTTTAATGGCATGGTGATGATGGAGGACTCTGACCTCCACGTCGGCA